CGACCCTTAAATGTACTTATTTTCATAATAAATATCGGCTAATTTGCCAACCGACATTTTTACCAAGAACATAAATAAAATAAAATATTTTTAAACTAATATTTTTGAATTAATTTGATTTAAATGCCAACTGACATTTTTACCAAATATTTTGTAATTAATATGCAAGTCAAACAAAAATAAGAAATAGTCTATCAACAAAATTGCTTGTGCATAAATATAGGTTGAGGCAGGTCATGACAATGTCAAGGCTACTGCCACGCGTTCATATATGAAGTGTCTGCATATGAACACAACATTTGCACACATACATATGTATGTAATTGTATGTATGTGTGCTTTTATAGGCATTATGAGAAACCCATACACTATTGACAAACTTCACTTGCATACGCATCCCAAAATACAATGCGACAGAAATATGGCAATAGTGTATGAAATTCTCATGCCCATGTAGCAGGTAAAATCTGAAAACGAAATTGAAGCTGCTGCTCGCAAACAGCAAAAGACCAAATGCTCAAATACATATAAACATATACATGTATATATGTGCACGCACACATACAAAGAGCATAAGCGGCGTGAACCGACCGTCTCTGTTGACTGCCTCTCTGCGAATGAAATGAAATTCGCTCACAGAGAGCACGAATGCGACAGCTCCCAGTCAGGTTAGCCGAAGTGCGACAGCTCCCATTTGGCAAATACCCGAACAGCTATGGGAGCTGTCGCTAACAATTTTGATGGGACGTTTTCGTTGTATGAAATGACGCATCTATATGTTGTATGGTTAGTGGTTGGGACCAAGGAGAGGATCCGATGAGCCAGCCGGCGTTGCCCAATGAGAAAAAGCGCGATCGTAACACAAAAGCTAGAATAACCAAACTTGGTATACAGTAGGGATGGGCATCGATATGGGAATATCGATATAATATCGATTTGATGATGGAAAATTTAAGTAAAATCCGATATGATATTCAATGCGGTATATATCGAATGAATCGATTTTTATTACGATATATCTTCTCATCTGTTACATTATTTTCCCCACTTTTTATGTACATATGTACTTCGTGAAGCTTTTTTGATTGCGCACTTCAAATTATGCCAAAGTATGTACATTTTAAACCTTTATGTATATACTTAAATATTTATTGATACCTTTTTGTTGGTTTCTTACAGAATCACCCAAAAGCAAGCCAAATTTTGGCAATTTTTCACAAAAATTGATTCGGTGCAACTTTTGCAAAAAATAGTGAAAACGGCTGGTAACACAACCAACCTAAACGCACATGTGAAAACGAATCACAAAGGCGAAACGATTGAAAGTGCAGCAATTGAAAAGTTTTTCTGCGGTACTGACTAACAGGTTGCAAAAAAATTTTGGATGATGAACAAAACATTCTAAGATACATCAGCTAAATGGAAATCCTATTTGAGTAGTAAGAAAGTAACCCTTACTACTGACATATGGACGGAAACAATAAATGTGAAAAGATTTTTGGGAGTTACGGTCCACTTTGAAAGAGATTTGGAGCTCGTTTCCATTAATATTGGTGTGACCGAATTAACAGAGCAGCATACAGCTGCAAATATATTTATTTGCGTAGAGTGGGGCATTCAGCTCCATAATGTTACGGCTGTGGTGACAGACAACGTAGCAAACATGACAAAAGCTCTGGGTGACCTTTTCGGAAAGCAAATGCACTTGCCCTGCGTAGCGCACACGCTCAACCTTGTAGCAAAATGTGCATTGAGTATTGAATCTGTCCAGCCAATAATTACAAATGCTCAACGCTATTGAGTTGACAACAGCAGAAAAACGTTTTACTCTTGCTACGCCCACTGGAATCCGCCACAAGGGACTTTTCGGGTCAGAACTACTGTACTGCCAGTTTAGTAATCGGATAATCAATAAAATGCAGGACGACATTGATAACTTAATTTTAGCAGACCAAATAGCACAGCAATGTCGTCGGACTATACTGTTGGAAATCCAAAAGCGATTTGGGCAAATGGAGCAGGTAAAGAAAAACTTCTTAACAGACACTCGGCTTCGACTTTCTTATAAATCTGATTTCGAAATGAAATAAGAAAATGTTTAAAAGTATAATCTCTGAATTTCAGGTCTCAATATTGGCAACGGCTACAATTTTGGATCCGCGCTTCAAAAAGTATTTTTTTAAAAACAAGCTTGTCGTAGCTGCAGCTATAAAAAAAAAGCTGCCAAGTACGGGATTCTCGGATAATACCAGTAACATTGACCTTTTGGATGCTGAATCATATTATGAAGACGTTGTTGGTGGTGATCCAAGAACTTTTTGGAAAATGTTGGCTATCTACAGAAACAACAAACTCCAAGCATGAATGGTAGGGACGAAGTGCCGCATTATCTCGCTTCACCATTGGCAGACCATAAATGCAATTCCTTAAAAATATGGAATTATGATAAGGATACATATCCAAGCCTTTTCAAACTGGCCTGTGGGTTTTGCCTATTGTCGTCACGTCCGTACCGTGTGACCCCGATCCGAAACCGCTTAAGCCCCGAAAAGCTATCACAAGCACTTTTCCTTGGCAGCTTGCCGAAAAGTGATTGGAAATTTTAATTTTACCTTTTAACCAAAAATGCATAAATTGATATGCGGGATATTTGTGTTTCAAAATTTATTAAATTTGACTGCACCGAAGTGAAAACAGTTCCTTTTTATAGCCTGGGCCCAAAAGGTAAAAGGCTATACTAGTTTGAATTTGATCACTACTGAAATTTTTTCATTACAAATATTTTATGTTCCTTACTATTTTTGTAATTTAATCAAATAATTAATTTGTTAAACTTTTGCCTTCATTTATATACATACATTTGTTTTTACTATAAACACCTAACATTTGTTGCTAAAACAACATATTTATTAAAAATATATTTTATTTCTTCATTTAAAAAAATTTAGCTGTTGAATATCGATATTTATATATTCATGCGAAATCGCCGATATTTGACATTTTCGATATGATATCCTAGAAGGTATTTTGTCCGATATAAATATCGGCATTATCTTGTCGATATCCATCCCTAGTATACAGGTTCCATAGGCATGTCAAGTTTGTTTATTTATTCTGCTTTGGTTCAACTTTGTGCTGCATACATACACGCATATAAGCACGTAAGCTGTTGAAACTGTACATGAACACGTCTCCATTTTGTATGTATGTATTGATTAATTTGTATTTCATTTAATTACATAATTTAATTAATTTTTTTTTAAATTAATTAAAAAAAAAACTTTTTTTGGGAGGCACAGGAGCTCGCTCGACTCCTTTCATGTTTTTTATTCTTTCTGAGAGTATACAAACCAAGTTTAAAGTTATACAGATTTTCCATACGAACGTTGGAGCCCGTTTGCCCGCCTTTGGAGTTAGAATTTTCCAAACAGCTTCTTATTGCTCACTTTCACTGTGAAAGGAATCTTAAGTTTAAATCAGTCAGTCATGACAAACTGTTTTAAATATATAGAGATTAACCCGTACTGGTTTCCTGAAAGTCGCATAAAAATATGATTTCAATTACCCTCGTGTAATTCGTGTTAAAGTTTCGTCACATGTTCTGTTTGTTTTCAAGAGCTGCGGAGCAGCTTGGCCTATTGTTTCATACTTCAATCCGATAACATGCCATGTGTGTATCAAACGCAATTGAATAATCCCAATTATATTATATCACAAACAAGTACATACAAGTACAATGTCTTTTGTAATTTTCTATTTAAAGCTTCAAACGCTTTTTCTTTATATCAGGTGTTCCACACAAATAGCCTGAGGTTTCGGCAACAGTTGTGATTGAAACCTCCAAAAAATCCGTCGGTGCCACAGAACATCGAGAGATTTTTTTTTTCGAACTTCACCTCCAAGTCAGCTGTCAGCATCAGCTGAATGTCGACCCACGCATTGGAATTCTGGAAAAATGCTGTAACGCACTCAGCTGTCAGCAACTGCTGAATGTCGACGATTACATTTGATTAACTAATTGTGTTTAAAGTCTTTAACGTACTATGTTAAATAAAAAACAAATATGCCATTTGCATTAATATTAGACCGCGAGAATTTTCGAAAACGCCAATTAATTGTTGAAAAAATATCGCAAATGTTTGAGAAACGCATCTGATCCCACTAATGAATTCCACTTATGTGGCTTACTAAAATGAAATTTTATTTTATTTTTATAAACATCATTTGAAATTTAGCGCAATTACGGGGTGTGCCCTGTTCTGGCGACCTACAAATTACAAAAATGTACATACACTTTGTTTTCCTGGTCCGTATTATAAATTTAAGTGGCAGTTAATTACCATTCACATTTTCGCTAACAAACAGACCTGCCCAATCGGCGACACAATTTTCGCCATGTTTTTTTCATTAATACCCAGTTATTTGATACTTATTTGAAACAAGAATTGCGTCAAATATATATTTTATCTTTGACTTTCGTTTGGCTCACAAAACAAGACCTAACTCATCAAAATGTGATGTTCGAAGAATGTAATTTTCTATTTGTGCCAAGGGGGCATTGGTTGTTTTGGATGCTGTGTGTGAATGCTTGTGTTATCAGTATACATTTAGTAATTTCCTAATTTAATAATGTTTACGTAGGATATGCAAAATATTTGTAATTCAGATTGGTCAAAAAAACTACAAGGTTTATACTCCAATAATTATTTTTATGGCAAAGATACGATTTGAAACCTACCAAAAGTGGCACCGAGAATTGGTTTTGAGGCGAAACTTGGACGGCAGCCCTGCTCCTGACATAACTAACAGTGTTACCTAAAAAAATTGCGTAAATTGTTTTATACAAGTATAAATAATCCGAAGAACAGATTGTGAATACACCAAAATGTTGTCAGAGCTATCCTTTTTGTTTTTTTTTTAAGTTTTGTGATATGTGATATTGAATTACTCGTGACATTGTCCCGGTCAGTTTTCATCGCTCATCTCTATTACCAAGAGGTTTTTTATATCACATTTTTAAAACTTATTGTGTTGAAATCATGGCCAATGCTGAGGTAAATTAAGAGTACTTATTTTTATATACATTCTAATTTAGTTCTTTTTGAAATATAGCTGTCTAATGCTCTCCGCGATTTTCCAAATAGAGTTATTAATGTCGGGATGGAAGAACGTCCGGCGTTATTTGCTAACGTGTCCGCAGTGCTTACAAATCCTGGTAAGATACATATTTGTGAATTTCATATTCTTAAATAGCTTTAGAATTTTATCCTCCACAAATTAAATAAAATAAATAAGAGCGCCAAAATACAGAAGTACAGAAGTACAAAAGTCTTAAATAACCTTATCTAGTTAAAAAAAAAAATTATAATATGTATATATGTATGTATGTACATACATACGTAAATGTTAGACATACATATGTATGTATGTATATATGTACATTTGCATCGGTATTGCGTAAATATGTACATATGTATGTATGTATGGGCGTGCCAAAACTACAGCTCCTACCAGAGCGTGGTCAGAGATTACATTTACATCTAGAACGCATCTTACAATTGACTTATTGCTATGAAACTTAAAACCATGAAGACACAAGCATGCAGGTATGCAGTTCTAAGGATTACGAGGAATTTTTAAATCTTTACGATTAGGAATAGAAGGAGGAACAAGAGAGCCAAAAACCAAAAAGGGAAATATGTACCTACTTTCCTAGTGTTCACTTTACTTAAGATTAGCTTAACGCACAGTCGCAATTATGTCAAGGAACGAGGCACAGGAACTCAATCTAATTTGGATAACCCACCCAAGCAACAAATATTTAAAAAATATCAAAAATAAACAAGTCGAAAGACAAAGTTGGGTGTCCCGATTTTGAAATAATCCATACCTATTTATATAATAACAAGAGTGAATGCTTCAGTCAAGCAAGCCACAATCTTGTACCCAGAAAAACGTGGGGCGGTGAGTTATTCATACATACATATGTATGTATGTATGTTGTACATATGTATGCATGTATGTATGTATAAAACTTCGGGCGGTGAGTTATTCATACATATGTATGTTATACATATGTATGTATAAAACAGGATTCGTAAAATGCGAGCAAGTCTCATTCGGACACACGAGAAATTCTGCAGCGGGTCGCTGCCGACTGAAGCAGAGTGTCGTCTGAGTTGTCTGGCAGAGGCCATAGATCGTGCGGGTCGGCCGTGGTTTGCCGTGGGTCCCTGCCGACAGCAGCAGAGAGTCGTACGTACCGGCCTGCAGAAGACGAGCACTCGTTCGAGGCAGGCAGGCATATATTATAAATAAAATTTTGCACAAGCCCAATGTACCCTTTTTACCCTACTGGTACATGGTATAAGCACATAAATTAAAGCTTAACTGAGAAAATGGAAAAAACTATAAATCCCGTAATTAGTGGAATTTTGTACTCAGATTTAGCAAATACCCCTAGTTAATGAAAACGAGCCCATATGCCAAGTTTCATTACGATAGGTTAGTTATGATGGAAGTTATAGCCATATACTTAATCTCTGCCCAAGCGCTGCCCACACCTGTTGTTGATTCTACTTTTTATAGCCTGTACCCAAAGGGTGAAAGGCTATACTAGTTTTGTGCGCATGTATGTAACACACAGAAGGAGGCGTGGCAGACCCCACAAAGTATATATATTATTGATCAGGATGACAAGACGAGTCGATATAGCCATGTCCGTCTGTCCGTCCGTCTGTCTGTATGAGCGCAAGGATCTCAGGAAGTACAAGAGCTAGAATAACCAAACTCGGTATCCAGATTCCCATAAGCTCTAGGCAGGTCAAGTTTATTTTTTTTTATTCTGATACACCCCCCACTCCCCCGCAATTCCTGTTTTTTTCCATAACTCCCGTAGTTCTGGGAATTTCGAACTAAAATTACGTAGCTACATCCCGTTAGTGATTATGTGTCTGTATGCCAAATTTCATCATAACAGGTCAATTCTGAAGAGAGCTATAGCCATAAATAAAATCGCTGCCCATGCTCTGCTTGTAGCGCTGCCTGCAGCTGTTGTTGTTGTTGCTGCTTGCGTTCAACTTTGTGCTGCATACATACACGCATATAAACACGCTGAGACACGATTCTGATGTAAATGTATGCTGTTGAAACTGTACATGAACATGTCTTTAATTTAATTAAATAATTTAATTAATACACTGCGCGACAACCGATTAGAACACTCTCTAACCTTGCAGTGCAAATGTGAATAACTCAGTACTCTGAATATGTATCATGCTCAATAGTTTTTTCTTTCATTCTTCATTATTTACACTCTTGGGAAAAGAACTGTTATGCTCTGGAAGTGTACCGTTAGTTTGCTATGCTGTTTTCTTTGAAGCGACAGAAAAAATGCATGGTTTTTTCTGCGACAGCCGATTAGCACACTTACGCTTCAGTATTAATTTTTGCGAGTGCGTTGTCGTATTTGACTTATTAAAGTTATTGTTCTATAAATTTAACCAATTTTCAATTAAATTGACTTAATATGGGGAAAGCCAAAGCGTTGAATGATACCGAAAAGGCAAAAATAAAGACGTATAAAGAGTGTGGCCACTCGATTCTAAAAATTTCAAAAATAATGAAGCGCAGCCGTAAAGTTATTTCCTCATTTTTAAGTAATGAGTATGCCTATGAAATATGAAAGGTCGTCCCTCTTCTGTGATAACAGCAGCTGACAAGCGAATTATATTGAGGCTCGCGTCCAATTCACACGACTCAGCCTCCAAAATTAAAGAAAAAACAGCTGTTAAGGCGTGTGTTCGGACTGTACAAAGAGTTATTTCAAATGCAGAACACTTAAAGCTCCTAAAAATAAAAAAAAACAACTCTAAACCAGATCCGAAAGGCGCAACGACTCGATTTCTGCCGATCGAATATGACCTGGACCAAGGAATGGGAGCGTGTTGTCTTTTCAGATGAAAAAAATTTAATTTGGAGGGTCCAGATGGCTATGCTTACTACTTTCATGATCTAAGAAAGGAAGATCATACTTTAGATCGACTGCACAGCCGTGCCGGTGGTGTGATGGTATGGGGAGCAGTTACGTACTATGGGACCATAAAACTGCAATTTCTTACAAGTCGTATGAATACCACATCATACACAGAAGTATTGAAAGCAGCTTTTCCTGCAATAACTGATATATTTGGGTCCATGGAATGGAAGTTCCAGCAGGATAACGCACCTATCCACACTGCAAGAGTCGTAAAGACTTGGATTGAGCGTCAAAACGTGCCTTTACTGACCTGGCCGCCATACTCGCCCGACCTGAACATTATAGAAAATGTTTGGGGATGGTTAGCACGCAAAGTATACGAGTCTGGAAAGCAATACTCAACTGAGTTGGAACTAATTCAAGGAATAAAAAGTGCGTGGGAGACCATTTCACTAAATTATATAAAAAAGTTATATGACTCCTTACCCAACAGGATGTATGAGGTCATAGTTAACCGTGGCGGCTCAACTCATTATTAATCCTTCTTAAATATGTTAAGAAAATGCAGAATTTCACATTAAAATTTGATTTGGGGGTCTAAAGTCTCCCTCTTTTTATGTTATTCGATATTTACATGAAGGTGTGCTAATCAAATGTCGCAAAAATAAAAGTGAATTTTTTGTATTAAATTTGTAAAAATTCCATTAAAATATTATTTATAAAGCTAATACAATAACTATTACATTTTCTAGTGTATAATTTAATGAACTTTTATTAGCTAAAAAGTTTATTTTAAAAACTTTATAGGATAAGCTGATATTAAGCTTTAAAAACAAGAAGCATAGAGTGTGCTAATCGGTTGTCGCGCAGTGTATACTTTTTTTTAATTATTTAAAAAAAATTTTTGACTTGTTGGTGGGAGGTACAGGGTATTTAAGAGTGAGCTTGCTCTAGCATTCTTTTCTTGTTTAGTATTATTATTAAAATTCCACTTACAATTACAAATTGCAAGCAGCTTATGGAGTAAGCTATTAGCTACTAGACCTTAAGCTTATGCTTGTTTACAATTACGGTTATTTACACTTATTTACAGTTCGATACATAGATTTATTACATAGTGGTGATTTCGATTATTTTATTGAAGACAAAAGAAAAGAAAAAGAACACAAACAAAAACTTATTATTATTATTTATTTATTTTTATATGAGGTGAAAGAGGTTTGTAGATTTCAGGAATGTAATAGTCTGATAGATGTTTTTGGGTAAAGTGATTTCATGTATTGTTGATTCTAGGTATCTTGATCTTTCTTGTTGATATTTGGAACAGTCTAAAAGTATGTGCTTCAAGGTAATTGTGGTGTTGCATTTTGGGCATGTGGGTGGTGCAGATTTGTTTAAGATAAAGTTGTGTATGAGGTTGATATGTCCGAGTCGAAGTCGTGTAAATTTTATTATGTATAGTCTTGTTAAGTTCGAACTTGGTACATTGTTGTTTGCAGTTTGTTTGGAGTTGACAATTTTATAATAATGAGAGGTGTTATTCCATAAAGCGTTACTCTGCTTATTGAGTTCTAGTTTAAATTGTCTTTGTATGTCTGCTAAGTTGTAGTTCTGTTCTATCTTGAGGGGATGTTTTAGAGCATTTTTTGCTGCTTTGTCTGCCATTTTGTTTCCTGGTATTTGACAATGTCCTGGAACCCAGATGAGTAAAAATTTATTTCGGTAGGAGTTTACTAGGTTTCTTATGCCTTCATCTGTATGGAAAATCACCAATATCAGCACTTCGTAAAATAACAATATACCACTCGGCACCTCGTTTAGCAATGGGAGCATTTCCAACTACTCCGATAAATAACTTACTGTACGAAGCTAACATACAACCAATTGAAACCAGAACAATCCACGCCACACCTAAAAACTGTAAAACAGCCAAACACTCCCCTATAAAAAAAATATACCAAAAATTAAAAATAAGTCAAAAACAGCCCAAAATATCATCATCGTTAAGAGATACAATTACCCAATGCAAAAGTTTACAAGTCGAAATTTCACCTTTAAGAACATTTAAACAAACAACTCCACCCTGTTCCTTTAATCACAATCTCATTAACATGTCGCTTCACAACATCAAACAAGAAAGGAATGCTAAAGTCGAGCAGGCTCAACTCTTAAATACCCTGTACCACCCCACAAAAAAAGAAATTAAATTAATCTAATTATTTAATTAAATTAACTTT